CCAACGAACGGCTCGGATGCGCATAAAATAAACGAACGAAAGGGAACATGTTTAAATAATGCAATTGCTTACTTAAGATTATATGAGCCATAAAACTTCTGCTAAAAGTTTAAGAAATGTGGTAAAAAGCAATGTTTATTATTTAGCCACAAACTTTTTGGTAAAATTATATTTACAGAAAAATAATGTTTATAAAATTATTCAAGATGTTCTTTTAAACCACAGGCAATTTTTAACGTATAATTTCTAATACATAGTTTTGCCACTTTTTTATTATGTCTTACTTGTAACTGTTTATACTGTCTACAAATCCTACAATTCTTACTTTTGCTTACTTTCTTAAATCCTCAAAATTGATATTATTTCAATTTTAAAATATTAACAATTATACAAAATTACAAAATCCGACTACGTTACGTAAACGTGCGAAGGTCAGTGTGTCCATGCTTGGAATCTTGTATATATCGATTACTAATTTCGCGCGGGGCCGGAAGTCGACGCGGAGACCATCTAAGGTAGCGGAAGTAGCCGTTGGACGCTGCCAACCGGTACTCGATCCCGTATTTGTAAAGTTCGACGACATTTTATACGTCAGTCATACTTTTCACGGGCGAAAATATGTAATTGGATTCTGTAGAAGTGATTTAACATAACTGCAGGCTAATTTACGCTGACGCAACAGCTGATAAAATTGTATCGCCGCGGATCCAGTTAGAAAGTATGTTTCCAGTATCATCGTAATTACCGTTTTATCCAACGCTTCCTGGTTAAGTTACGAACCGTTATTCGACATAGTGTCCGGAGATAAGTCTGCCTCACAGATGATACGCAGCTATGCATGTACTTAGTGCCGTCCAATCGATAATCGTCATATACATATGTTACTGTAATCACCGGTTACCTGGCAATCAGAGAAAAAACTGGCACGGAATTTCGACGGATGGGATAATTATTGCATAAGCGTGATTTGCTTTCTTTTCAATTTCGCGATTAACAATAATTGGTTTTGGTACGAAGGCGCATCGAGTTGCAACTGGCAGTTTTTACAAGTTTCGCGCTGGCGAACCAGGAAATCCTAATACTTTCTAGTACTGACCTACAGTCGACGACTGGACTTCCATTCCACGAGATTCTTCTCTTAATTCGTCAATCAAACGCTTTAATTAGCTTCTATTGATTAATCTAACAATTTTTTCTCGCGACAGGAAAGGATACGAGAAAATTTCTATTTTTATTTTTATTCATTGCTATTTGTAATTTTACATTTTTATGATTTTTCAATTGTTTGCTCGAGCAAGTTGATTTTAATTACGCTATAGAAAGGTTGGAAAATAATACGCGTAACGAGGTTGCTTCACGAAACAAGCGTAAATGCCCCGTGGCAACAACGGTTTTAATTTGATATACTCTAATTGCCGTAATGTTCAAGCAACTTGTAATACACACTCGGAGATCCTTCCTTTTTCTACTCTATAAACTACCATTCTCCGCGTGCTCGTATTTTCTCTGGGTTTTTAAACCAACAAAAAAGTTCGAACATCGATTACCTATTTTCCACGACTTTCAACAATTATTTTCATCAAACTATAAATACATACAATAGAAACGTGATGTTCGACTTTCATATATGTCAGAAACCCCAATAAAGCAGTTACTTTCCCCTCGCGATTCCGATCAATAAAAAATTTGAACTTTATACAGACTACATAATAAACTGTCTTCTAGCATCCCATAAAAAATTGCCTGGTCCAATATTAAAGAATTTATTCTGTTTTAAAAAGTTTGCAAATAGTCTTTGTGGATATTGTATGTATAAACTCCACAATTTTTATTCGAGTATACTCAACTTATGAATACACAGTATGAGAATTAATATCTATGCTATGACACCTAAAATACGTCTAGATTTCTTCATTTTGTATGAAAATCTATTTACGTGTGACAAAAGTTCAAGCGAACGTCGGAACCGCGGCGGCGGGTTGTATGGAAAACGTGTAATGCGGATTGCACGTGCACGCAGGTTAATTGTGAGCCTGCGGTGACGCAACGCCACGCCGTAGCTCGCTCGTGGGAAGCATGGTTGCGAGTCGCGCTGCCGCGCGGATCGCGAAAGTTTATTACATATTTCGCTTTGCGCGAGTTCATCGCCGTTAGACGAGCACCTTTATGCAACGCTCCATTGTTCACGGCGACAATCGTACTCCGTGCTACCGAAACGCGTAATCGGGACAGCAACACTTGGCATTAACGTTTGGAAACAGCGGAAAGTTGCACACACACGTCTATGTATACTGCTTAAAAATTCGTGAAAGTATGCTAATTCCTCTTATGTATTTTCTATTTGCCTGGCTACTTCCTTCTCCTCTGGTTATTAAATCCTCTATTCCGAGAAATGAGAAGAGTCTTTTTTGTATTCACAATTAAGAACGTCGAAAAATGCTTGAAATAAAAGTTGTTTTTCTTCTAACTTCGATATTTAACGAGTTACCTATGATTATTTGGCATTTTATTGGCATTGACGAAATCCGACCGTTCCACCGTCGAAATACCCTACTTTTAGCAAAAAATTTCGTTTTTCCTCAATAACTTCTAAACTGTTGGAGATACGGAAAAATTGCATAGAACCTTTTTTGTAGAGGATGATGAGATCTACAATTTCAGTATAAAAACTTTTCATTAGCGTCAATAGTTTACGAGTTATTGACGAAAAACGAAAAAACAGTTTTTCGCAAATTACTCATAAACCATTGACGCTAGCCAAGAATTTTTATACAGAAATTGTAGATCTCGTCGTCCTCTACAAGAAAGGTCCTATGCAATTTTCCCGTAAGTCGAACGGTTTAGGAGTTATTGAGGAAAAACGAAATTTTTTGCCA